TTTTTTACACCACAATGCCACTAAGCTACAAAGAACCATGATGCGCCCTTGTGTTGTGTTGTAAATTCATAGCCAGCACTATGGCTAGTCCATTTCTAATTTGCCTCCATGCTATGTCTGGACAGATGTGGTTCCACAAGCACATGGCTTGGCAAATGGAACTTGAGCTGTTGCACAGCTCATACAACTGTTCATAGCAGCCCTGCTAATATCCCTGATCATAGAATATCAAAGTAGGCTTTCCAGTAAACTCTAAACATGTGCTAATTCTGGTTTCCGACTTTTAGTTAACTTTTTATCAATAAAATATAGATCAATAGCAAGAAGGCTTTGGACCCACATACAAGATCTCCGTCTATTGGGTAAGCCTTGGTGGGCTGAAACCACCTTTTGAGAATCCTCCTTTAAGGACAAGGGCTGTGTCTCATTCATCTTTGATGGACATGGTAGCTAGGCATTCAAGAGAATACCTTGCTCCTTAGTTGATCACTGGGCTTGGGGATTCCAGAGTCTTGGCCCACCCATGGTAACCCAAAGCTGGAGAACACACTCAGGAAGTAAACCAAGGCTGCCTCCACCATGCTTGCTCCCAGGATGGGGAAGCGGAGGCATGGGGGTGGGACTGGATACATACGCTCCCTTGCAGTTGCCAGGGTGCTTTTCTGATGAGCCAGACACCACTGCTTGTAGGTATTGACTAGGATATCTGTGGTGATGCTGTTGTCCTTTCCCAGAGAGCTGAGATAGATCACAACATCTTCCACCTCCTGGTTTTTCAGAGGGACTCCAACCTAAGGAGAGAAGAGAAGCCACCAAGGTGGGCAGGCTCCAATCCAAACATCCTACCTGTACGGTCAAAGCTTTACCAGCCTGGCCCTACTTCCCCTATCTAGTTTCATCCACAGCCACTCCCACCTTGGCAGGAGCTCAGAGCCTCTTCTGAGGCCCTGAACACACCCTGCACCTTCTCACCCTCTGCCTTTACTCAGGCGCTTCCTCCTTCTATCTGAAGAACTATCCCTCTTTCAAAACCTAGTCTAGATATGCCACTATCTTTGCAGAGTCTGCGACTCCTTCCTTCTGGGCTGCCACCCCACTCCATACCAATCTCAACGATAGCTTTCCCACACTGGATTGGAAAAAGGATTTCATGCCTACCATCCTTGCCCACGAGAAACACATCAGCTTTCCTTAACTGAAGAAAAATAAGATCAGAAGTACAATACACATTACTCTTTCAGGGATGGTAAGCAACTTTATAGGAGTATAATGCTTGCCAGCAATACTGAATATTCAAGAAGGAAAGTGTTTAAGGAAATATAATTTTCTTCCTCAGCTTCTTTAGACTGTAGTGTTCACTGGGCTTTCCTTAAAGAGGGTCAGAACTCTCCTGGTTCTAGAGGACTTCATGTTTTCTCTTTTTGGTTATGATGATTAAAAACCCTATATATATACGTATATACATACACGTATATACGTATACATGTACATATATATGTATATATATACACACCCTGTATACATAACATATATATTTAATGTTTTGAAACGTTGTTTAGGTAACTACATGTCGTGAAACAACAGTGTGAAAACTGGTGATGATTTAAAATCATAAAGACCTAGCAGGCAGCTTCCTAAAGTATTTCCAAGAGGTATCTTGTATTCAAAGCATATTAAGGCTTAATTTATCCAGACCAGAGGTCAGCAAACTTTTCCTATAAAGGGTCAGATAGTAAATATTTTACGATCCATGAACAATATGATCTCTGTCACAACTGCTGAAATCTGCCATCATAGCGTGAAAGCAGCCATGACAATACATATAAATGAGTGTAGCTGTGTTCCGATAAAAGTTTATTCACAAAAACAGAGGCAGGCTGGATCTGACTTCTGGGCCATAGTTAGCTGACCTCTGCTAGATCAACAGAACTTTCTGCAATGATGGAAATGTTCTATATCTGTGCAGGCTGATAGAGGAACTGCTCACCACATGTGAACACTAAGCACTCGAAATGTAGCTGGTGTGACCGAGGAAATGGATTTTTAAATTTTATTTATTTATAATTAATTAAAAATTTTTGGATAGTCAGTGAAAGTGTGGCCTGTGGACCAGTACCATAGACATCACTGGGAGCTTGTTACAATGCATCAACTTGGGCCCTGCACAGAGGTACTGAGTAGAAGCTGCATTTTAACAAGATCTCTATGGGATTATCTGCCAATGACAGTTGGAGAAGGTCTAGAGGGTTCTAGAGGCAAGACAGAAGGCCCAGCAATCTCTGTGCCCAGTTCTGGAGTCTGATGGGCAAGACAGTGATTCCCCAGGTACTGACTGGTTATGGGGTCGGCTCTGCAGACTTTCCACTCAGGGAGGGGTTTTCAAGATCAGACTCACGCAGGAGTGGTTTTAGGGGTCTGATGTGGCCACAAGTTATGTCACGTTTTCCGATCTGGCTTAACAAGTAACAAGGCTGATGGTTTGATCTACTTTTCAGTTGGTCCAGGACCTGGGTGGAGGCAGCAGTGGGGACAGGATGCATGCATGTCTTCCTCACTCAGGCCAGCCTGGAGGGAGCATGGGAGGCACTTACCGCCTTCAGAGCCACAATGAACTCCTCCCTAGAGATCTTCTGGTGCTCGCCCCCGTCCACTTTGCTAAATATCTCCAGGATCTTGATCTTGCGGCTGTGCAGGTAGGAGTACAAGGCTGATAAGGCAGAGGGCTTGGGCAACCGGAGCTGGGGCACCAGTCGGCGGGAGGGCCGGGGGCTCTTCTGTAAGAGGTAAGAGAGGGAACAGAGGAGAGAATTCAGGGGAGACAGGCCACTGGAATGTGATTCCCAGAGTTAGACAGAACATGATTCCCAGAGAGAGAGAGGGGGGGGGGCTGAGCAGCTCTCAACAGACAGCGAGATGGAGTGCAAGGAGCACTGGATTCAGGGGTGCCGGGGTGGCTCAGGTTGTTGAGCATCCGACTTCGGCTCAGGTTGTGATCTCCGGTTCATGAGGTCAAGCCCCAGATCGAGCATCTCCGCCGTCAGACAGGTCCTCTGTCCCCCTTGTTCTCTGGGGGGTTGCATGCTCTCTCTCTCAAAAATAATTTTTTTTTTTTTTTTAAGGAGCATTAGATTCAGGGCAAAGGCGTTTTGCCAGGGATACTTTGCATCTCTGGGCCTCCATTTTTCCATCAGAAACAACTGGGCTGGACATGATGAGAACTAACATTTCATTCTTACCCACATCTCTCCTGTCAAACACGTCAGGATTAAAATCACACCAGGCGATCAGTGCACCAAAACATATGCCCCTGCCTGGAACCAGATGGGGCTCTCTAATCCACCCATCTCCCAGCCTTTGCTCCTGCTCAGCCTCCTGCCCAAAACTTTTCCTTCTCTCTCTACCTGTCCGACTCCTACTCTTCCTTTACTTCCAGGTCATCGGGAATATTTCAGGATAATACTCCCTTACCTTGGCGCAGCACCTGACAGTTTACAAAGGGCCTTTCTGTTCCCTACTTTGTAGCTCCTCTGTGTTTAGGATCCAGCTCTATTAATGGCCAACTGTAGTCACCAATCTGATGTGTCTGCCTCCCTCATTAACATGTGAACATTTTGAAAGCAAGACAATGTCTTTTGAAGCTACATACCTCTACCTCCTATTCATCTGCTGGACAAGCCCCCCAGCCCTAGGCAGATAGGCAGTAATTGTTTGATGAATGAATAAATGATGCTGTAAAATAGGTATTAGATACTACTTTCTGTTTTTACAAACGAGGAAACAGGCTGAGAAAAGTGAAATGACTTGCCCAGGGTCACACAGCCTGTAAGCAATAGAGCTAGGTTTCTAATCCAGGCCCAGTGTTTTGGTTGTTTTTTTTTTTTTAATGTTTTTTAAATTTATTTTTGAGAGACAGAGAGAGACAGAGCACGAGTGGAGGAGGAGCAGAGAGAGAGGGAGACGGAGAATGTGAAGCAGGCTCCAGGCTCCAATCTGCCAGCACAGAGCCCGACGCAGGGCTTGCACCCACGGACCATGAGATCATGACCTGAGCCAAAGTTGGATGCT